GGAACCTTGAAGATTGACATGGGTAGTGTGAAGGAATATTTGACAGAAATAAGGGAGTTAATGCGCATGAGAGAAGAGAGGGAAGGAAGAAGAGAACAAGAAAGAGAGAAATCCTCTTCATCAGCAGAGAACCAGAACACCAGTAGAGATAAGAAATCAGATCGGGAAGACAGTGGGAAAGACAATAAAAAGAACACCCGAAAGCTGGAGTTACCCATCTTTAATGGCGAGGATCCGTTTGGATGGTCTTTCAGAGCAGATCGCTACTTCACCATTAACCGTTATCAGGAGACAGAAATGGTGGAAGCAACAACAGTTTGCATGGAGGGAAGAGCTTTGAGCTGGTATCAATGGGTCGAATCCAGAGCACCTTTTCAGTCGTGAGAAGCCTTCAAAAGAGCATTGATTGATCGTTTCCGGCCATCATTTAAGGGGTCTGCATATGAGGCTTTAGTAGCCCTAAAACAAGAGGGGACAATCACAGAATATAGGGAAATGTTTGAAACCAACGTTTCACCATTGAAGGATCTGGGTGAAGATCTGCTGAAGGGAATATTTGCGAATGAGTTAAAAGAAGAAATAAAAGCAGAACTGCTTTTGTCTCAGCCAAATTCGTTATTTGGGCTGATGGATCAAGCCCACAGAATTAAGAAGAGGAACTAGGTGCTTGAAAAACAAAGGCCCAAGTCGTTTAAAAATCTAATGGGTCGAGGGGAGCCCTATTCACGGGTCAGCCCAAACTCGGAACCCACACGCACTAACTGGTGGAACTCCAGCGCAAAACCACCAGATCCACTTTCGTCTTCATCAAACTCCAGCAAACCACCTGAGCGAAGAGAGAAGGCGACTGAGTCTGTGGGGTCCATCAACCGAAACGACAACTTCCGACAACTGTCCAATGTTGAAATACAGTACAAGCGCGAGCGTGGGCTTTGTTACCGCTGCGACGAGAAATTTGGGCCAAACCACAGGTGTAAAAACAAATCTCTACAAGTTTTGTTACTCCTGGATGACGAAGACACAAACCCACCAGAAGTTGAGACAGAAACTGATGAAGAAGCCATCAGTGAAGGTAAATCCCTAGCTCTTTCGATGAACTCCATTGTGGGTATTTCATCGGGAAAAACTTTGAAATTAAAAGGGGAGATTGGGAATGAGAGTGTGGTGGTATTGGTGGATAGTGGGGCTTCCCACAATTTTGTTTCCCATGAGGTTGTACAGAAGCTAGGGCTGAAGGTGGATGAGGGAAGGCCTTTTGGGGTAATGGTTGGGAATGGATGTACCATTCAGGGAAAAGGAATTTGTAAGGCAGTGAGGCTGAAACTCCAAGGGATTGAGATATAGCAGGAATTTTTTCCGTTTGAATTAGGAGGTGCAGACGCGGTCTTGGGAATTACATGGTTGAGTAGTTTGGGGGATGTGAGCGCCAATTGGAAGAGATTAATGATGGAATTTGACTGGGAAGGGAAGAGGGTAAAACTGCAAAGGGATCCTCTACTGGTAAAGACTGAGGTCTCACTGAAAACTATGGTCAGGTCTTTACATGCTGCGGGAACTAGTTATGTAGTGGAGTTTGGAGCCATAGGGTTGAAGGAAGAGCCAGTGCAGGAGGAAATTGACCCGGGAATATTAGAGGTGATAGATAGTTACCCCCAACTATTTGACCAGAATCCTAAATTACCACCCTGTAGGGCCCATGACCATGCCATAGAACTTCAACTAGGTTCCAAACCACCCAATATCCGACCCTACAAATACTCATACTTTCAGAAGAATGAAATCGAGAGGCTGGTTGGGGAAATGTTGACTGCAAGGATTATACAGCCTAGTGTTAGCCCGTACGCCAGTCCTGTCCTATTAGTCAAAAAGAAGGATGTGAGTTGGCAATTTTGTGTGGATTACCGGGCCCTAAACGATATTACAATACTTGATAAATTCCCAATACCGACCATTGAAGAGTTACTTGATGAATTAGCCGGGGCAACAATTTTCACAAAACTGGACCTTAAGTCGGGGTACCATCAGATTAGGGTGCGAGAGGTTGATGTTTCCAAAACAGCCTTTCGCACACATGAGGGGCATTACGAGTTCCTTGTGATGCCTTTCGGACTCACTAATGCGCCCTCAACATTTCAAGCTTTAATGAACTCAGTATTTAGGCCTGTTCTCCGAAAATTCATCCTGGTTTTCTTTGATGACATCCTTGTGTATAGCCCCTACATATCCACACACATGCAGCACTTACAACTAACCTTTCAGATTTTGCAGGAACACAAGTTGGTTGTTAACAAGAAAAAATGCTCGTTTGGCCAATCTAAGCTGTAATATTCGGGTCACATGGTTTCAGAAAAAGGGATAGAGGCAGATCCAAAAAAGATTGAGGCCATGGTGTCCTAGCCGCAACCGGGGAATGTGAAGGGATTGAGGGGTTTCCTTGGGTTGACAGGTTATTATCGGAGATTCATAAAAGGGTATGGTTCAATCGCACAGCCCCTTACTCAGTTACTAAAAAAGGATTCCTTTACTTGGAATGATTCGACACAATCGGCTTTTGATAGGCTTAAGGAAGCCATGACTACTGTCCCAGTTTTAGCAGTTCCAGATTTCACATGCCCCTTTGAAATTCAAACAGACGCATCTGGCAGAGGTCTCGGGGCTATTTTGGTGTAGCAGACTCGACCTATAGCTTTCCTCAGCAAGGCATTCTCCCCTACAGCTAAGCTGAAATCGGTTTATGAGCGTGAATTGATGGTCATTGTTTTTGCAGTCAAGAAATGGAGTCACTATTTGCTTGGCAGAAAGTTCGTAATCAAGACTGACCAGCGCAGCCTCCAGTTTTTAACGGACCAAAGAACAAAAACTCCGAAGCAACACAAATGGATTTCCAAGCTAATGGGTTTTACCTTTGAAATTCAGTACTATCCAGGGGCTTCCAACCGAGTAGCAGATGCGCTTTCAAGAAGAGAAGATGAGACAGAATTGGCACACATTTCAACCTTATTTGTGGTACAGTTTTCTAAATATGAGGAGATGGCTTCGAAGGCACAAACAGATCCGAAACTCAGGGGAATCAGTCAGGACCTTCTCCTTGATTCTTCTAGTCAACCCAACTACCATCTCCGCAGGGGCTGCCTATTCTATAAGGACAGGCTGGTTATTCCAAAAGGGTCCAGATTTGTTTCCAAATTAATGGCCGAGTTCCATCAGAGTCCTAATGGAGGCCACTCGGGTTTCTTCAGAACATACAAGAGAATATCTTCGATAGTTTATTGGGAGGGTATTCGGGGAGATATACAAAGCTACATTAAAGCCTGCACCACCTGTCAACTTAATAAGCAATCGTCATTAAAACCTGTCGGACTCCTCCAGCCCCTTCCCATTCCAAAACAAGTTTTTGAGGATCTCTCTATGGATTTTATCGGGGGGCTGCCACGTTCAAAGGGAGTAGATACCATTTTTGTTGTTGTTGACCGCCTAACCAAGTACAGCCATTTTTTTAGTCTTGGTCACCCCTACAATGCAAAGGATGTCGTTGCCATATTCGTTAAGGAAGTGGTCCGGCTACACGAGTTCCCTAATTCCATTGTTTCTAATAGAGACAAACTTTTTATGAGTCAGTTTTGGCAGGAGATGTTCAAGGCTGCCGGCACCGTTCTAAAATTTAGTTCGACTTACCATCCGCAAACCGATGGGCAAACGGAGGTGGTCAATAGGTGCCTTGAAGCGTATCTCTGCTGTTTCTGCAGTTCTCAGCCCCGACAGTGGCCTATTTGGCTTACTTGAGCGAAATGCCATGTTAAAGGAGCTTAAGGACAATTTAGTTGTGGCTCAAGCTCGCATGAAAAACAATGCTAACCTCCATCGACGAAACGAATGCTTCTAGCCTGGTGACTCAATTTTCCTTAAGTTACAGCCCTACAGGTTTAAATCACTTGCCCAGAAAGTGAATGAAAAGCTCAGTCCCCGTTTCTATGGTCCTTACCCTGTTTTGGAACGCATTGGACCAGTGGCTTATAAATTGGATCTGCCTCCCACAGCCCGTATTCATCTTGTCTTCCATATTTCTCAGCTCAAGAGGAGCTTACATCAATCGGTACCTATCCAACCCCTACTAGAATCACTCTCTGAAGACATGGAATTAATGATCCAACCAGACACTGTTCTCTCTATGCGTACTCTATTAGATGGGTCTAAAGAGGTTCTCATCAAATGGCAGTATTTACCTGATTTTGAAGCCACCTGGGAACCATATGAAGTGATTAAAATGCAGTTTCCTCAGTTTCACCTTGAGGACAAGGTGAATCTTCAAGAAGGGGGAGGGATGGGGGTGGGCAGGCAATAGTATTGATAAACCAGCAGTGCATAAAGTCTACACCCTTAAGGGGCGCAAAAGACATTAGAAAGGTTGCTAAGGGAGTAGAGTCCACAAAGCACAGGTGTCATGGGTAAGAGTCTGTTTTGAGAATACAAATTGTGTAAGAGTAATTGTGGAAAGGGGATTAGTATATATTCAGGGAGAGTAGTAGTAGCAAGACAGCCTGATTTTGGTTGATAAAACAGTGGAGGTTCCTGGCTCCTCGAACCGCCAGGGTTTATGTCCAGTTCATTCCATCTTTTATCTGTTCCATTTTTATTCAAACTATCTGATTAATACAAATATTGCTGGGATTGCATTTGTTGTTTCTGGTGTTATTTTTGATTGTGGATTGACAATGTGTTGGCTTATTTTGTGTGAGAATTATTGTTGGTTGGTTGTGGATTGATTTTATCTGCAGGTGATCGCATCAAAATCTTAAGGATCTGGATTTCTTAACTAATGCTTCAGAAACATCCTGGCACCAGATCATAGTGAGAACCAGCATTAGCTTTGTAAAATTACTAATAAATTAAATAAACATCATAGAAGAGCAATATACCTTTAACTTGGATAGCTGTATATGAAAAAAGAGTGACCAAATAAATTGAAAATTTCTCAATGTCAGTTCAAAAGAATAGCAGTGATGAAAAATTAGAGTTCAGTTTGTGTAGGGATACAGCAGTTATTCATACTTACAATCATCTAAAAGGATCTAAAACTGTCAGTACAAAGAATTTGGATTTCAAAACAATGTAACCAGTAGACACAAATGATAAAAAGGACAAAAAGGCTGATTTAAGCCCAAAATCAGTACAGTGTCGAGCTCTAACCAGAGTGAAGTCAAAATATATAGATAGAATTCATTAAGAATTATAACTTTTCACAACATAAAGAAACAAATTATCCTAAAAAATAATGCCTTCACATTATAAGCATGTAATCAGTAAAAGATGAAGGATGAAGAACATAAAACTCATATATTACCTTGATTTGTGCTCCTACAAGGAAAGGCCAATTATGATCATCTTTCAAAGATGCACAACTTCTGCATCAGTGAGCAGCTCTTCACTCACCACTCACTTCACATACCCCTTCAGAAGACTCTGATGCAACTTTGGACTAGTAAAAAACTCTTAGCTGGTTATTAGAATTCTTTCTCCTTTGCCAAGCTAAAACCACAGAAATCTTTCTCCTTTACCTGGTGAATCAGTGAACATTGTCATCTTGAAAGAAAGATTCCATTCTTTGTTGAACCGAATTGATAATGTGCCAATCCGTGGTCATGATCTATGAAAGCTTGTCTGTAAGATCAGAGTAATACAAAGTGGAACTGCTGAGTTTCTTTGACGTGCAAAATTTGATACAGAAGCTGTGGCCAATCATAAGGCTTCAGCTTTTCCAGGCACTATTACAATCACATGATTCTAACAAAAAAAAATTTGCTGAGAAACAAATCTCTCTCTAAAAAGTATAGAAAGAATACAAGAATGGACAAGATGTCCATACAAAAAGGACAAGCTGTCCCTAAACCCATGATTCTAATAAATTAGACAGATGAAAACCATATCATATAATTCTTAAGCTGTTCTCAATCAATAGGTACAGTTAAATAGTACTTTTGTGCCCTAAATCTTCTAAGATAACTCTGGAAGCCTTCTGGTACCAAGAACAAAATAAAGAAGGGTCTCCGAAATCTAGTCAATGTTATCAACATTAATAATACTAGATGTACAAACAAATCTTACAAACATTTGTGTACAAACTAATGTGGCATAAAATGAATGGATGAGTGAATATAAAAAATCAAATTCATCATATTCACTCTTCCATTTATTTTGTGCCACATTAGTTTGTACACAAATCTTTGTAAGACTTGTTTGTACATGTAGTATTACTCTATCAATATAAACTCTAAGCAATTCATGAAAATCCTACAGAGTTTGTTCTTAAAAAAAGTTAACATGGATGTCATAGCATTATATAAAAAACATAAACCACACAAAAATAGCACCACCAATGCTATAGAAGCACAATATTGGGATCCAACAACCACATGTAGACAACTCATTCTACAGAAGTAAAAAGTCATTTACGTGCCAAGGCTCCAACAGGAAATATATAAAAGGAAGAACAACAGAGAAATTGGAACACAAATACACAATACATACAGTATTTACAACAATTTTTCTCAATTGGGTTTATGCAGAATAACTTTACTTTTAATAGCCAGTTAAGACAATTGATTGGAACTATGCTACACTCTGGGGCATCGATCACCCAAAACCACCAGTATTTTCATTAAATTGAATAAATGATCACACAGGTGTATTCCATAAACTGACGTTCTGTTTTATTTCATTTAACAAATTAATAAATTTTGTAGTCTCTCATTAAAATGGAAAGAAAGGTGACCAAGAAAACATTCAAAATAGTAGAGCGGAAAAGAATGAAAAGTTGAAAAGAAATGGAAGTTTCAAGCACAAGAATGAAAAGAGAACTCTTTAAGGTGCAGAATGGCATGCCCGGAGAGAAATTGAACTTTCAATTCCTTCAACTTACCAACAAGTAGAACTCTACTTATTATGCTGATGTCTTTACATTTGTACTTCCCACCATGAACTCTTTTTGCTCAATCCAAGCCCCTACTTTCCGTCAGGCATTTTGCCTCCCAGAAAGTCAAGCATTTCTTCAATGATCCATACTAAATTTAGCTCATGCATTCTATGCTTCTTTCAGTAAATTTTAGATACCGAAGTTATCTCTAAGTAATATTTTATGAAATAATATACGTGATGCATTTCACTCTCCATAGAGTTTTTGTATTTAAAGGAAATAATATAAAGAAATGACAGATAAAGTGGTCAGTATGCATTGTAATAGGATTCTTCAAATTTTCAAGAGGAATTGCTTCTGAGAGTTGAAAATCAACAGAATAGCTTTTGGATCACTTTCAGATCTAATAAACAGAATAGTAAATATAAACATACATGGTAGTATTCATCATTTATCACCACTTGTCATGTCTAATATTCCAACTTAATACAACAGTTTCCAATAGTTAAGACACATCATTGCATTAATGAACAGAAATTCTTTCATAACCATGGAGCAAATTCATCTGTCAAAGAGTCCAAGTCATAAACAATGCCTTAAACATTTGTGTTGAACATCCAAAAAAAGAAAAAAATTCTCCTCTCTATCGGCAAATTAATTGTACAGCCCACTCTCACTACTTTTCCTTCCTCTTCCAGGTAAAAGCAAAATTTTATTAGGGAACTTGAAAGCCATACAAAGCACTATAGGTCTTTAATCCACATTCTACATTTAAAGGGAAAAACAAATTGACAGAAAAATATAAGAAGTATAAGCCTTGCATATATGAGACAATAAAAAACAAGAGAGCCTTTAGTGAAAGCCAACTGAAGTGAAAGTTACAGCAAAAGGATATAATTCATAGCGAAACAGAAAAGAAAAAAGTACAGGGGGACAAAGACAAATGAATGAGGATTTTACCGTCCTTATCTAAAAATATTTGTTCTTATCGAAAGGCCAAAAGAACCCAATATCAAAAGATTCCAATATGGTGAAACAAACTTCCTCGAAAGAAAAATGTGGCATTAGCATGATATATTTACAAGACCGACTAACATAAGTTTAAAGTATTGTACTAAACTGAGTTAATATCAAGGAAAATTGTGTTAAAAACTATTTCTTACAACCAAAAAGTCTGGCCACCAAAGGAAAGATGAAATTAAGAAAAAGCTAACCTCTTAATTCTTTGAAACTGTTTATGCATACAGCCTACAAAAACTGAAATTCTTTGTTCTCTCAGCCATCAGTTACTTTACCCTGATACAGCTCTTCAAAGCACAGTAACCAAATTCAATATCTCCTTGCAATAGAATTATTGTGCATCCTCAGCAATGTGTCAAGTGTAACTGCAGTCCATCCTTCCTCCTTTTGCGCATACACCATTTGATTTAGGGAGTCCACATATATGCTTATGTTGCCAAAGCCATATATTTGCTGACCGTTATGTGTCCTTCCAGGTTTAGGCTTAAATAGCAATTCATGCTGCTGTGCATATGCCTCCACAACTTCTTTCAATGTCATCTCACGTTGTGCATCTGTACCATCCATATGGGAAGCAGCAGCTGCTGCTGCTTGTTGAGCTTGAGCAGCTGCTTTCTGCTGAGCCTCAAACTGCCTCTGCTCCAACACCCTAAGATAACTAAGGTTCTCCCTTAAGCCAGGTTGGACCACTTTCATACCATCAGCGGCTTGAGACATCATGTCAAGACCGAGATTTAGTTGAGTCCGGATATTTTCATTAGCTAGAAGTTCCTGTGGAAGAAGTCCCTTCCATCCCATATACCATTTATGAATCTCTTCAAAGTTCGGAGAAGTGTTCAACCAGTGATACAAAACCTGCAGCCACTTAGCAAAGAAAAACCTCTCCATCAAATCAACCATGAGATGAATTGGAATAGCAGAAGCCCAAGACATAACCCAATAGAACTGATCAAGCTTTTGGTTTGCAGGGTTAATTTGTAACTCTTGAAGAGCAACTTGCAATTTTGGAACAATATACCTACGCATGAGCTGCTCCCAACTTGTTGAATCAAACACAGTCTTCCACGGCGACAATATGGTGTAAGCAGATACATCGCTTGGATGCCAAGCGTCAAGAACATTACTCAACTTTATACGTATGATATGATACAAACCCTCCAATTTATGTCCCAACATTGGGAGCCATGGATGCACCCAAACATGGATTGGAACAGTTTCTCGACGTGGGTCCCATGAGTCCACAGCGGTTGACAATTTTGGAAAAATTATTGTATCCAACATGGTCTGAAGAACAGAAGAAGGCAGCAGCTTCTCCCATGACTCCAAAAATCTAAGCATTGGCTCAGGGTCTCTTGCATCCCAAGTATTGATGCCAGATATTCTCACAGCAGGTAAGACAACTTCTGAAACCAGTTGAGAATAAGGTGTTGATATATCCCATAAATCATGACTATCCTCTGTTTGCAACAAATTCTTCCATGTTGACACAATCTCCAGTTTATGTGACGGATTCCGAAGAGGGTCCCAACCTTGAAACGTCCTTATAAAAAGAGGCAAAGCGTATGAGCAAGCAATGCATGACAAGTTACAGAGTTTATAATCATGAGGAAATCTTCTGAGCAAGTCACTAAAATAGTTTGCAAGTGAGTCCAATGTTAAAGTTCCTAATGAATTTTCTCTCTCAATTTGACCCAAAACATTAACAATTTTCTCCATATTGTCCAACTGCTGCTTCTGTTCATCGGCCATCTCCTGCAACTTCTCCTTCTCCTTTTGCAAACTCAATGCAGTCTCCTTTTCATTCCTCAAATCATTATCAATCTTCTGAATATCAAGCTCAGCCAAGTCCACAATCAACTTTATATTATGCTGTAGCTCAGGCATCGGAACATCATTCTCCCTTGCTTTCTCCTCTGCGTCCAAATTCTCCAAGTTTGTCAAAACCCTAACTTGTGGCCCTCGCATATCAATCACCTTCTGAACCACCTCAAACCCTTGTTCTTGTTTCTTTGCTAACAATTCCTCCATGGTAATATACTCTTCCTTCTTCCTCCCCTTTGTCTGCTTTGACCAAAGCTTCTCCTTTGCTCTCCCAACAGGTTGTTGCTGCCCCACAATCTTCTTTTCCGCCAACTTTTCCAAGTCTGGCAACTTTGCTGCTGGTGCTTCTTTAAAATCATTGAAACCCATACCCATATTCTTGGGTCTCATCTTTGCTTCAAGCGGTGTCACAATCCCTTGCTCATTCTTTCCAAGCCCACCACCTTTATACCCCATCTTGTCCAGCAACTTCTTACCAATTCCCTTTGTATACTTCTCAAAACCCCCTACATCCCCAGTGCCAATTTCTCTCCCTTTTCCGCCTTGACTCTTTTTCTCCGATTTTTCCCTCTCCCGCTCTCTCTCCCTCCTCTGTGCTCCCTCCTTTATCTTCCTCCCAAATGCTGTTGGCAAGAAACTATCATCATCACCATCCAAATCACAAGCTTTAACCTCAGCATCCTTTTTCTTAGAACTATTTCCACCAAACCCTAAACCTGAACCTAAACCAGCACCAGAATTTCCAGATCCAAAACCAATACCTAAACCAGGGCGGTTGTCATCATCCTCCTCTAAAATATCATCATTTTCCTCTTTGAGATTCTTATCAATCTCCTGATTGGGCATTACAGTACCTGTAATAACAAGTAACCTTAAATTAATTTGAATACTATGTAAAAGACCCACAAAATTCAAATTAAATTAGTTAAACATTACTTACCTGTAGAAACGAAATTGACAGGCTTTGTCAAATCAGCTTTTCTTCCAAAGTCACGGTCTTTTCTCCGCTTCTTGGAGTAACCATCATCAGAGTCAGAATCAGAGGCAAAAACGCCATACAAAACATCGTCTTTGGTTTGAGTTCGTTTTTCCTTGCGCCTCTTGAAATAAAATTCGCCATTTATCCACTGGCCTCCCTCAAAGTCGTTCTCCATTCCGAACCTCTCCATCTCCTGCTCATCGTCCATCCTCTATCTACTATTCAAAACAACATAAACCAAATTTAAATTTCAGTTATAAATGAATTTTATAGACCAATTTATCCACTCTTCAAAAACAATCAAAAGAATTTGTTCAACTACTTTTATTTTCGAAATTTTGATCCCACTCTTTATTTCTTTAGCTAAGTTAAACGAAATAGCTAATTTAAAGAACAACAACATCAAAACAACTGAAATTTCCGATTTTCACCGGATCCACCAATTTTCACACCCAAAAAAATGAATTAGTCTAGAAAGCTTAAACCTTGACAAGCTATGAAGCTAATAGTTATGAAATAAATACCCAACTTCAGTCCCAAAATATCTAATTAATTAAAGAAACCGCAGGAAATCAACCACCATGTATCTAATATTAATTCGAAATTTTAGATTTCAAAAACAAAAACAATAGAAAACAGAGGGTCATAAAGTGAACGAATAAACCCATATTTGCATATACACCAGAACTTCACCAAAGAACACTTATGAATCCAAAATCCATGAAATTAACACAAAAAAGAATCTTAAATTCATGCCCAATTAATTTTTAACATATGACAGAACCAATATTGTATCAGAACACAAGAAAAAACAGACAGAACACACTTAGAGATTAAAAAACACAAGAAAAATCAAACTTTCAGAAAAAGCTGCTGGAATCATATAAATTTAACATAGAAAGATACATTTTAGGCAAAAAAATTCACAATAGCATAAACATGGACAGAAAAGCAAGTGATTAAGCAAAATTTATTTACAAGCCATTCAAAGGCAAGTACAGAGGCAAAATGCTCGGCACCCTCCCTTCAACCTACCTCAAATGGGTCTCCAAGAACCTCCGCGCCAGAGACTTCGAAAGATGAAGAGAATTTTGGATGAGGAAAGTGAAAACAAAAAAATGAAGAGAAAGAGCTGTTTAAAGTGGAGAAGAAAGAGAGAGTTGGGATATTGACAGAGAATGAAGAAAGGAGAAGAAAGAGGAGGTTGAGAATGAGAGCGAAAGAGAAGATGGAGATTAGAAATGGTGATAAGATTGATGGTTGGATGAGAAGTGGCGACCGGAGACGAGAGTGAGGAGAAGTGTTGAAGAGAAAAAATAGAATAGAATTTCAGGAATTAGGGTAATTCAAATTTTTTTTTTTTTTTGATAATTACGGGTATCCGCGGGTATATGCGGTCCACCCACATAAAAAACAATAGGCGGGTCCAGGTATAGGTCCAATTTTCACTGGTCCTTGAAAGTAGACTCATACGCACAGGTGCGGGTATGGACCCGTTTTACTCGATTAAGAGAGTTTTTATTGTAAATCATTCCATTCTCGAATTCTAAAAGAGTATGTGATGCTAGTGAGAGAAAGTAAGTCCTAGTTTGAGAGAGGTAAAGGTCTAATAGCACCTAGAGCAAAGCTATTTACATTAGTTTTTCTTGGTTGGGAAGGGAGATAGCTGGGGGAGTGAACATAGGTGGGATTGGGGCCAAACCATTACATATCGGGCGTTTGATTCTCTCTTCCCTTTAATCTTTACTTTGTCCAATTTATTTTATACTTGTTTGCATCTATTTTTTCATAATAATAAATTACATATCTAATAGTTTTAATTTGAAGTGAGGTTAGGAGATTTAAAAGCCTAATTATCTTATGTGGGTAGCAAGGCTTAAATGCATAACAAAACTCAAGTCCATAAACTTTTATGGTCCGCATGTTTTGAAGAAAGGGTACCTTGAATTTCCACCAAATTAACTTGATAAAAAGTAAAAACAATCAAAATCAACATCACTAAACCAATTAAATAAGTACTATCCTTCATAGAGATTAAAGGGTTAATACAATGTGGTAGCATGAAGGCTATGCTAATTTGTTCTTAATCATAGGCTTATGACATTATCCAAAACCCCTATCGGAGTAATTTGGTCCTAAAGGGGTAATTTGTAAATGATGTCATACTTCGGGTGAAGGTTATTTTCTTAGATACTCTCAATCAATATTTTAAAACCCAACCCAGGGTGAAACCCGGCAACTTTGCCAGGTCCCGGGTTGATCGGTTTAACTAGTTTGATCAGCGGTCGAACCGATTGACAAAAACTTCTAAAATTCAGTGTTTGAAATTTAGCAAACACTCCCTAAATACAAATCGGCCAACGACACCCCAGATACAACCTCAATCGTCCCTTGAGCCCATTCCCCTTAAAATATACCCAAGATCTGGCCAAAATAGGTTTGATTTCGACCAGATTCACCGACGTTGGCGTCGACATTCCAGGCCAGATCTCATTGACGCCAATATCAACAACCCTCCCCATCACCTAGAAATTACTCCTCCCTTCCTCCCAACCAAAACTCACCTCACCGCACCCTCGTTAGCCTCGCCAATCGTCGACAAAGGTCGGTTGTAGCCGTTACCAATTTTGTTCGATTTTCGATCGATTTACTTACCGGAATCAACGTCGTCACCACCATTGCATTCACCGATACTTTCCCTTCAAAAGCCCCAACATTCTGGCCGTCAATTGTTCGTCGATCATCCTCCCAAATTCTAGGGTTTTGAGTGAATATGAAAAATATAAACCCGACCCGTTGAAGCTTCCAGGTCTCGGTTAAACCGGCCGAGCCAGGCCAGGTTTTAAAATAGAGGTGGAACAAATGGGTCGGGTTAGGCTGGTCAACCCTAACCCGGCCCATAATGAAGAGGGTTGAAACCGGCCCGCCAATAGGGTTGAGCCTAACCCGCCAGCAACCCCTGGGCAGGCCGGGTTGCAAAATGGCAACCCGCCGGGCCGCGGGTTGCTATTTTGTCTTCTCTGCAGGAGGCCCGCCAACCCGGCGGGTTGCATGTTGGTTGGCCCGCCGAGTTGGCCGAAAAATAAATTAAAAAAAAAAGTAAAATTAATATATTTTTTTAAATTACCCTTTTACCCTTGAAATATAGCCGTTTTATAGCCGTTGGAGGTGTCTTTTTCGTCATTTTCTTCCCCATTTTTTTCTATAATTGGCCCTAACCTCTCATTTTCTCACAACTCAATTCTCTCATATTCTCTAATCTCTATTCTCTCAATTATTCATTTATTCTCTTAATCTTTTTGTTATCAATTTGCTCTATTTTAATTTTTATTAGTTTTTGCAATTTTCAATTCATATTTCTAATTTTCCAAATTCCAATTTCCATATTCCAATTCTCTTTCTTTAATTTTATTTCTTCTATATCAATTTTTTTTTCAACTACAATGGATAGATATTTCTCTCCCTCAATTTCAATGATGAAGAAAACTACTATCCTAGTCCTAGTCCCGCTGATTTTACTATGAATGCAAGAGATTCAAATAGTCTCGCTGTCCCAATCCCAGTCTCAGAATCCGATACACTTCAAAATATGCCGTCGATTCCAACAGCTCCCGGTGGTTCTAGAAGTCGTCCTTGTAACGTCGTCCTCGTCCAACTCCATCTCAAGTTGAGACGGGTTCATCAACTGCCGTCGAAACACAAGACAGGCACACATCAGACGTTTGGGAGCATTTCGACAAGTTTTACGGGACAGAAAATGGCGTTCAAGTCAAGAAACAAGATGCAAATATTGTAGAAATGTTATAAAGCTGATTCAGGTAATGGTACTAGTACTTTAAAAAGGATGCTAATAACATATTATCAACATGAAATAAGAAAACAATCAAACTCAAATAACTAATATGGGTACACTTGCGGTTATAATTCTGATGTATATAGGGAACAGTTAGCTTTATATATTGCTGCAACTAGGGGTGTTCAAAAGAACCAGTTGAACCGGAACCGGCGGGTACCCTGAGTTTGGTTCCGGTTCCTACCCAGAACCAGTCGTCAATGGGTAGGTTCCGGTTCCAATTTTTGGAATCGTTACTTGCGTTCCGGTTCCGGTTCCTATAGTTAGGAACCAGAACCAGAACCAGGACCAGAACCGAGACTAATATAAAATAAATTAAAGATTAGGGGAGTTAATATAAACTTTTGTAGAAAAAGTAATGTGAATACATTTATATTTTATTTCATAACTTTAAGTAAGTTGGTTTGACTTTTGAGAATCTACCTTTACAAAGTAATGGAGTTTGTAATTTTGAATTTATAATTTGTAATTTTTTTTTGTACAAGTGCCAGGTGGGGGGGGGGTATTTGTAAGTTTTTAAAGGTTTTTTTTCCATTTTAAAAACTTTTGGGGTCATGTAATTTACAGGGTACCCGAACCAGAACCTGAACCGTTGTTACAGGTTCTGGTTCTGGGTACCTGGAACCGGAACCGTCGGTTCCGGTTCTGGTTCCGGTTCCGATTTTGGTTCCTTCAAAAAGTGTAGGTACCCGGTACCGAACACCCCTAGCTGCAACTGATCAACCATTATATGGCTGAAGATATATTTTGAAAGATTTGTTCAAATTCATTTTTCCGGATTTAAAAGTTCTAAAACTTAACTAGAAATGATTTAAAAAATTGTTTAAAAAAATGAATTATAATTAAAAAATAAATTCATACTTGTCATATTAGTGTGGCTCTAACTGCCGTATTTGGAGTGGTAGGCTAAACAAGATTAATTTGTGTGACTAGTCATTATTTTGATAATGAATTTAAATTATATAAATCTTTATTAGGATTTAGATTAATGGATGTGGAAATAGTGGTTTAGAAATCTATAATAAAATTGTTGAAGTTTTAGAAGATTATGATATTATTGATAAGTGATAAGTTTAACTTTAGATAATGCAAGTTCTATAGTAAAGCTATAGATTTTTTCAAACAATTATCTTTTATATAACAATTTGAAGTTTTTTTCACTAACGTTGTGCATGTCATGTTATTATTTAATTGTGAAAAGTGATATGAAAACAATTAACAAAATATTGATAGAATTAGGGAATCTTTAGCTTGGATTACTGGTAGTAATAAAAGAAATGCTGAATTTCAAGAAGCTTGTATAAATCAAATATGTCTCCTAGAACTTTTGCTTAGATATCATGTTAGATGGAAAGTACTATTTAATGTTTGATTCTGTTTACCTTATGCTAATAATTAGTTTTTGTAGCAAATAATAGAAGTCCTCATTATTTGATAGAAAAATGATTGGAAGATAGCTAAGATTTCATTCTTTTCTCAAACGTTTTTACCAATCCACTTACAACTTTCTGGTGTGTATTATCCTACTAGTCCATTGGTAATACAACATTATAAAATACATACAATTATAAAAATTTCTGAGTTATTTCAAAAAACAAAGACAATGAATTTTAAATGCACCACTAAAGGCAATGCAAATTTTTTTTTTGAAAAATTGGGAACCTATTCATTTTCTTTATTGTTTAGGTGCTATATTTGATCCTAGAATTAAATTAGAACGTTTAGAAAATGGTTTTGACAATTTAAGTGAAAATTCCAAACCGAATCATATGTCATCAATAGGAGAGGTAAAAATAGTCTTTTCGAAGTATATTTTCAATATGAAACAGGTATGGAACCCGCAGTCGCAAAAAGCGAAATATCCAGAGAAGCTGTATCAGAAGAAACAACAAATAAAGACTTATACTCTTGGAATGCACTGAATAGGCCAAAGAGGACCCGAATCCAAGCACATCCTCCTCTTCAGAAGCACACCACAAAAACAACTAATATACTGTCCTCCATGGAGTCGCAGGTAATGAACTCAACAATATTGACAACCCCCGAAATGTTTCGCAGGTCACTTGATATCTTAGAGTTTGGAGAGCCAAAAATGTATTTTTCGGGTATATCAGACTTGCCTTGGATGTTTTTGCTGTTCCTGTCTCAACCGTTTCATCCGAACAAACATTTAGTCAATGAAGATTTTAAATGAAAGGAGGACTAAACTTGCTCAAAAATGATTGAAGTCCTCACATGTCTTCGAGATTGGGAACGATCGCGCCATAAAAGTCAATACGAGGTTACGCGACAAAACTTTAGTAGAATCATTTCAATTTTGTAATATAGATGATACAGATGAGAGGTCCTAGTGAACCACCCCCAAATTAGTTTGTTTAATAAATATAATTCGTAATTAATTATCAATTATTGCATTCTTTTTTTTTACCAAGTTTTTCTCCCATTGGTTTCTCTTGGTGAGGTTTTTAACGAGGTATAATTGTTAATATTTCTTATTTTTTTTTTTTTTGATGAATGATATCTATTTTTTTCTTATATTACAATTTTATTGTATTAAAATTGAATTAATATTGAAATGTTAACAAAAAAAAAAAAAAAAAAAAATTGAATTGAATTGAATTTTGATATTGAAAAGTTAACTAAAAACAATTATATTTATAATTATTTATTTGAAAAGTTAATAAAAAAAAACAAAAAAAATAAGAAAATCGGGCTAACCCTGCCGGACCCGCCGCCTAACCCGGCGGGTTAGGTGTAATAGCCACTACTACCAAATTCTCATAATAAAATCATATAAAATAATAAAAGAAATTGGGCCCAAAATTTTCTTTTTATTAAATATATATATATTCTTTAACACCTATACATTTTTACACAAAATGTATAACATATACAAAAGTCATCAAAAACATAAGGAAGTGTAACCCGCTTCTTCTCGAACGCCGACATCCATCACAGTGTCCTCACCTAGGTCCGCAAACATAGAAACAACGGGGTGAGCACTAAAATAATGCTCAGAAGTAAATCCTCTACTCATGCTAGCCCCGTAACTCTCTCTCTCTAATTCTTTCCTTACAACTCCTCATTCAATTTCTCTTTGGGTACTTCTCTCTTTTTCTCTTTCTCTTTCTCTTTCTCTTAAAACTCTTTTCTAATAACTCTTTCATAAGTCACGCCCCATCTTACCGGGGCACGGCCGGGACTCACTCCCCTCTACTGAACCTCTACTCATTCTAGCCGATCGGACTCGGTTTTGCATGGATTCGGAACCCTTGGCCATGTGAGTATATATCTCCTCTCTCGGTACTCGGGTATAGCCCTCATCCGCATGCACTCTCACGGGCTACACCACTTCTCTTCTGATACTCATACCGCTCTCTCAATGCGGCGTACATGCGGAATACTCTACCCATTACTCACGGGTTCCCATCGCACAACCTACTCTATTCTCTTCTCTTAACTCTTAAAGTAGCTTATACTCACATTCTCTACTATACTAATGCTATTCTTACTACTTAAGTGCATAACAATTTGTGAGAGCTGATTCATGCTCACTAATGCACTAATGAAATGCCAAATACATGATTTCCTCAAAACAGTCATTCTACACCAGTCACACTAAAAAGACCATAACTTGCGTTTATACACCTCCGATTGCTACGGTTCTGGTCTCGTTTTAAAGCTTAGAAACAGGGCTACATCTTTTATGTTTTGATCTCAGCCCGTTCAAACCGTAAATGCCCAAATATCACTTAGAAAGTTACGGCAGTGACAGAGCAGATTTTACTTAGGATTTCATCAAACAACTCATGTGCATATAAACACTCTACTAAATTACTACTATACTTCATTCTCTAGCCATCCAAAATGGGGAAAAACTCCCTCAAATACTCATAATCCCTATCAAAAAGCACTTCCAAATAGGTTCACACAACATCTCTCAATCTTCATCTCAAATTCCATTTCTCATCACACATAAAAAACAATTCTCATAATACATATTCATCTCAACTCATCTCAACAACATAACATACTTATACAAGCATACATCTCTACTCAATCTCTAAATCTCTACTCAAAAACTTATTCAAAACTCAAGTTGGTTGGATTTACTTACCTTGTCAAAGATGACTTCTTTAGCACTTTTCCTTCCCTTTGTGGTCTTGTCTCTTCTCTACAACTCAAACACACAACAAGGACAGCAACAACCAAATAAGACTTCACTACAATTATAAGAAAACTCACATCTAAAGCATGAATCCTTACTTAGGATGCTTTAGGTGAAATCTCTACTCAAAACCCTTAAATCCCTTAAAATCGGAAGATTGGATGGAGAAATTAGAAAGTGGCAAATGGAAAAGGCGGGTGAATGAAGAAATAAGGGTTTCTCTACACTTAACCCTTTTTAGTTCATATTATAAGCATCATTTCCCATTTTGCCCTTGTCCTTCTTTAGAAATTCCATCTATATCCTTTGATTCTTTTCAAATCACCCCCATCCAAACACAATCTCTACTAAATTTCCTTTCATTTTACTCCCCACTTTTCCTACTAATTAGGGGTAGAATGGTCATTGTGCCCCAAAAGAAAAATTCTCTAGAAAACCAAAAACTTTGTTTTAGGCTCGTCGCCGCGGCAAAGAACTTTCTGTCGCCCCGGCGAAATAGGGCAGACCTACCCGTGGTGCAACTCCTCCTCCTCCGCGGCGAAGCTTATTCTTCGCCCCGGCGAAGATTGGATTTCCAACTTCACCAAAACTCAACCATTTCAAGGCAACAATTCAACCACTCACACATACAAACTCAATTAAAGTTGAAATGATAAACTTTAACTAATACAGAAATCTTAAATACGTACCTCAAGTGGGATATTACATTAGGGTTGGCAGGCCGAGCTGGGCCAGCCATTTTCTCCATAATGGAGGTGAGTTAGGCTCGGCCCGCCAAACTACGTAACCCGTCATGGGCCGCTGACGGGTTAATTTTCCACCATTATTTTAAAACATTGCTCTCAATTTGAATTATTTCCAAAATCGATATAATTTTCCTTCTAATTATTTTAAAAATAAAAATAATGACAATCTTTAGTCACAAGTAATTAGCGAACAAGATCCCCATCTATCGGAGCAGTGCCAAGATATCCTCAACTGAACTTCCCTCCACGTGTAGTCCTTTAGATACGCAAACTGACACATTGCCCAAGCTTCCGTCTGCACATTTCTTCGTCTTCTTCTTTCACTCATTTCTCTCTTTCACATTCAATGGCTATTAGGTCTTTAATTGTTCCTTCAGCTTCTAAATCACCAACCACACATTGCTTTCTACATCCCACTACTTCTCCTTCATTCCCTCAACAATCTTTTTCTTTCTCCACCAAGCCCGTTAACAATCTTAACAATGTCTTTTTTATAACCCACTACACTCTTGCTTCTCTTCACCATCACCGCGCTCTTGCTCCCCTTCCCGCTCTTGACTCCGACTTCCCTCATCCTCTTCACCAGGTTTTTTTTATTTAGCACTTGGTTTTGGTGTCATTACTTGCATTCCAAATGTCTATTAATAACCTTTATATAATATGAAATTATTAGTCTTGATGCTTATGATTCTAACTTTTGGTGGGAATATTGGGAATATTATTGAAGGGATCGGCGAATTTTAGGAGCAATAAGAGCTTTGAGCAATGGAATTCCTTGACGGCCAAGTTCTCTGGAGCGGCAAACATCCCATTTACGGTGCTGCAAATGCCTCAGATCATCCTTAATGCTCAGAATCTTATAGCAGGAAATAAAACTGCCCTTTTGGCGGTCCCATGGCTGGTAACGAGATCGCATTAATTTCTTTATCTTTGGTACAATTTACTTTATGTGCTTGTTTTTAATGTGGGTAGTCTTATTTTTCCCTAAAAACGCCTTAGATGAAACAAAGTTGGGTTGGTTTTGTCTCCATTTGCTAATCATTTGTTGTCTTCAGTTGGAATTTCAGTGAAGAGTTGTTTTGGGGGTTTTCTAAGCGTTTTATATATGAAAAAAAATAGAAGAATGAAATGATGTAATGATATATTTAAGAAATTATTCAGAGATCTGGAGTTTTGTTATTGAAAAAGAAAAAAAAAAAAAAAATCACAATTTGACAGTTCAAGTTATCCCCGTTCCTTTGTTTCTTGTTGGCCAATTTGGAGTTTTCATCATTGGGAGTTAAGGGAGTGAATGTTGTGAATACAGGGCATGCTTACTGGTTTGCTTGGGAATCTTTCGCTTCTTTCATACTTTGCCAAGAAGAGGGAGAAAGAGGCTATTGCGGTCCAAACATTGGGCGCTGTTTCAATATATGTGGTCATTGCTCAGCTTGCAATGGGAGAAGCAATGCCTCTGCCTCACTTTGTGGTTACTTCAGTTGTTGTGGCCAGTGGTCTTGTTTTAAACTTCCTCAATTACTTCGGTATGCTGAATGCTGAAATCTGGCGATTCTGGGAAGATTTTATTACCGTTGGTGGGATAACAGTCCTTCCTCAAGTAAACTCTCTGCTCCTCTCAATCTTGCACTATGCACCCACTCACACAGTGATTGAGAAAACTTCTATGTATCTCACAATATGTTGATTCTCCATGACCTTTTTTATGTATAAATTTGGCTACAGGTGATGTGGTCTACATTTGTACCATATATACCAAACAGTATTGTTCCAGGGGTGATAGCTTTTGCCGTAGGCGTGACAGCTGTTGTTATGGTAAGCTTTTCTTGCTTATAGGGTATTAATCTACCTCTTGTTATGGTGTACGGCAGATGTGACTCCTAAAAGATATGGGGGAATGCTAAGCTATGGATTATATTCTGCTGTAGATAGTACTATGTGCAAAAATCTTTCTTAGAAAGGATTATGAATTCTGCAGATGATGATACTATGTCCAAAAAATCCTTTCTTGGAAAGAGAAATTTTTCATGATTTAAAACTTCCTAATTTACATGGTGAAACAATGTGCACAGCTGATCGCCTGTCTTATTTTTCCAGATATTCAATTTTATTAATCACATATTTATCTTCCTCAAGAAAACGATCTTCAAATATTCAGATGATTATTTTTTTCTTTTATGATAAAATAATTAAGCAGAATGCAATCTTGTGTTATTCTGATATGGGCATTTAATATAATAATGTAAAGATATGATTTCACTTGGCTGGGCCAGCACTGGCAATGAATTGTCCTTTTGACAGCTGGGTCTGGAAAATTGGATTGCATAGGCAACTCTAGCATGCGACCTTTATGGAATATGGGAAACAGAGTGTCTATATTGCAGAGTTTGGTTGGAATTATGGAAAACTACATTTGGTAATGGAGTTAAGAGGATTTAGCAACAGTATTGCACCATGTAGAAGTTTTACCTCACTGCATCAAAAGATGTGTTGTCCAGTGCAGTGCTAAATGTAGCATGACAGTGCATTCTCACACTTTTATAATATTTAGTATTAAACTTGAATTCTGAAATCCTTTAAGGCTTGAGTTCTCAGCCTTTAGATATATGTGCATTCTAATGTAAAAGGCAGAAAAGTAAACTCTGTTTTGGTACTACTTTATAGCCTTTTTGAATGTTGATGCTCTTTGTACAGGAATAGGAATTTATTTATTTATTTATTTTTACTATAATTTTTTATGTTTAGCTTTAAAAAGCACAAAGAGGAATGTAGAACTTATGGGATTTTTCTTGCCTAGAGGACAGCCTCCTAGCTGAAACTCGCTGTATCATTTCATTGGAATAGTCAGGGTAGTATGAGAAAGACTGAGATACCCATGTAAAAACTAATTTTCTTTTTGCTTGGACAATTATGATTCGTCACTTCTTGAGTACCATTGACAGATTCGTTATTAACTTGAATGTTTATATACTACTTAAGTCCAAAGATCTTCTCTTGCGTCTTTCCTTCTGGAAAAACCTTATAGGAAACTAGTTTGATTAAGCAATTTTCCTTAATATAAATGACCTTAGGTTGTCATCTAAACTCAAGATTACTACCTTTTGAGAGTTTAGAAGTCATTTCTTTTTCCTTCATGTTAATAATGTACAGAGATATGCAGTTCAATGAAGCAATTTTTTAAACTGCCTGCTGCTAAGATTTGCAGGCAAGAATGGGCAAACTTCCAGAGAAAGGCGTCAAATTGGTTGGAGCACTAGCTGGATGGACAGCAACCCTTCTCTTCATGTGGATGCCTGTTTCACAAATGGTAATCGTTTGTATGCTTCAGTTTTATACCTCAACATCAAACAGGTTATGGTATCCCTCTCTTGACTGAAACTTATGATGCCTGTGTAGTGGACAAATTTCGTGTACCCTGATAACATCAAAGGCTTGTCAGCATTCTCAATGTTGCTTGCTATGATTGGAAATGCACTTATGATCCCACGTGCACTCTTTATTCGCGATTTAATGTGGTATGGCTCTTCCCCTATTGATCCGTTTTTCCTTTCATTCTGTATGAGATGGTCAAGTGACATTATTTCTTAGATTTTTTAACTTTTCAAATTATAACTCTGGGCCAGCCAATTATACCATCTTACATTCTGATAAGCTATGCCTAATCAGCTGCCTTTATTATATCACCTGCTAGTAGCAAAAAACTGGAGTTTGACATGTATGGATTAGGTCAACAGTCAGTTTTTGATATTAATACAATCCCGCCATCTGGTGTTTGCACAACTAGCAGCTGTTCAGAACAACATAGTAGTTTGAAATAATGGTCAGTTGAAAGAACGTCTTGAGTAGCTCTTCCTCGTGAATGATTAAAAGTTCTACAAACCATCTGAATATGGAAATTGTAAAGCAGTTGAGAGAATTCTGTTGTGTGGGAACATGTAAAACTAGCTTATGTGGTAAAAAAATTGATGTGCTTCAATTTCTTCTTTTATCCTAAACCTTGCAATTCTTGATCATCATGCCTCCATAACAGTGAACCAATGTATTTTTGTGTAAAATATCAGTACTATATTCATTCAACTATGCTTGCAGGTTCACTGGTGCAACTTGGGCATCCCTATTTTATGGGTATGCGAATATTGCCTGCCTGTACTGGTAAGAAATTATAAAGTTTTTTAATCTATATTTTAAAATTTCAAGTGTTCTTTCTGAGAATGAGACTTGTAAATTCTAATCTCAACTAACTCATTATGTTGTGATTTCAGTTTCAATGTTATCAGCAGGGAATTCTTTTTGGCGGCAACAGCTGGTTTATTTTCATGGATAGGTACTTTCTAAATTCCCGTAGAGCCATAGCTTTTGGGGAATAATATAAGATAAAAAACTCCACCTCGGCCCCAATTGTCTGAACCATTTACTTTGAAAAAGAATAGATACTCTATACCCTTACCTTGATTAAATGGTTAAACGTAATGGAGATGTTAATTTATTTCGATTGAGCAGGTATGGCTTTGTGGAAAGATACTGTAGTATATGGATACAACTCACCTATGAGATCTTTGAAAGAGTTGGTTTTCGGACGTTAAGTTGACAAGTGATCTGATTACCTGATAGTAAGCATGGAATATAGAAATTATTCTTGTCCTTTGAGATGCAGTTCCTGAGTAAACATGAAGTTGAAAATACATAAACTGTGTGGTCCTTTCAGTTAATGCAAGGAGAAGCTTGGAATAATTAAGTTGTAACTGTTAAGGTAATAACATAAGGGGTGGAATATAGCCTTATGGCCGATGAATAAATGCGTGTAATTTATATGCAACGTAGTTTAAATTTTGTAATAAAATTGGGTTCTCCACCCAAAAAATGTTTGTACCCCAATTGATAATATCCCTAGTTTCAGTGTTATTTGTTCTTATTCTTATGATCTCAATGAGTCTGCAAGCTTGGGTAGAAATTTCTTCACGAAAATATCGGTGTTGATTTACTTCTGGTATACATATATCTTCTAAGCTCAAGATGGGAGTATGCAAGCATTAGATGAAAGATCAAAGTATACTTCCACTAACAAAAATAAATCAGTAGTAAGTAGTGACATGATCCAACCCTGGAAGGCCAACAAAACTTGGTCAAGAAGGATCCAGCAACAAGCCTTTAAAGCTCAAAGAGATCTGAAGAGATTTACCAATAGTAAATGGCAAATAATGAAAGGTTTCATATCCCAAAAGATCACGTTCCTTGCTAAGCATCAATTCTATTTGTTAATTGTTACTTAAACAATAATCTAGTGTATGAACACCACATATTATTACATATTTCATATTAAATGATCCAGAATACATATTCCAGATGCAGGTTGAGATTTTCAATCAATAAATATTGACAAACAATTCCAAGAGCAAAAACTCCATTTCTCACCCGCAGCTTTGATGGGAAAGACCAAAACATGATCCAACAAAACCCATATGTTCTTGCAAATCTCTTTGTGATCTTTCAGATGCCCAAATCATGAACATAGTACTTAACAACCTCCTCAATGATATCTGAAGAAGCATAGTGACAGCCTTTAAAAAATTTTGTGTTCACATAATTAGAACATAATGCAAATGCCAACAGCAGAAGCTAAACTGCAAAAGATACAACAAATAAAGTGATAGGAATCAAGATATTCATAATTTTTCAGTCACATAATTAAAGCATCAATGCAACTGCCGACAGCAGAACCTAAGCTGAAAAAAGATAAAACAAATAAAGTGATAGGAATCAAATTATTTCTATGAATGCACCTTTCACATACTGCAACGGCTGCACTGTTGGAAAAGGAACGACTCTATTCAGAATCTAAAGAAAAGTGCAGGTAGCACATGATCTAATTGACGGGTCTCTACTGAGATCATTGGACAGACTACTCCTGTTTTTTTCTTCACCAGTGGGGAAACACCATTTTTCTCAGCACTACATTCTCACCTCTCATACAGGAGTTTCAGCAAATACAAGAGGTTAGCACAGAGGAATGGTGTAGCTCTGCAAAGACATTATCAAGAATACAACTGTCAAAAAAAAAAAAAAAAAACCTGAATTAAAGCTTAAAAAAGTCTACTCTGAGAAGATTTATAGCAAGTCCGTGAGAACCAAGAAACCAAGAATACTGCTATCTTTCTTTAACTACTGAAAAAAAAAAAGAAAAAAAGAAAAAAAAATGTAGGTTTTCTCATTTGGCAGACAATTTCTACAAGCTAAGCACACAGAAACATATTAAAGTAGAAATTAATTAGCAACATAGAATAAAGAAATTTTTATTAGAAGATGGATACATCAATATGAAAAAGATATTATAACGTGTAATTGGAGAATAACACATACATAAACACAAGCAAGCTATTCACACAAAGAAAAAAGAAGGAAGATAGAAAAGAAGTAATCACTGCAAGAGAATCAAATTATATCACACAATGTATAAGAGAATATCTATACCAGAAATCACGTAAATTTGGGAGAGCAATAACAGGAGGAAAATGAAAAAAGGGTACGCTGAATTAAAGACAGTGTAAAGCAATTGTGGGTCAACAGAATCAAGATAGAACCATTACAGCCCTTGCCAATCATTAAATTCTCCAAAACAACTGAAAATCAAACAAAAAGATTCAAACATATGCACTGCAACAGTTTAAATTTTTTCATCTCGGTCTTCAAACAGAAATACTGAAGTCCCAAACAAGTTTTTGTAATAGTCGCTAAAAGCAAACAGCAAATTATAAAAATAACAGTGCCGATCATGAGTCAACACGGTAAGAGTGCATACCATATGCTAAGCATTTAAGAGCCACGTATCCCCATGAAGTATTGAAATGCACGCTTCAAAACACAGGTTCAGAAGTGCTCAAGTGGCTGGGTATCCAGTAACAAGGGTTTCCATACTTCTGTTTTTACTCATCCATTATGTCTTCTTTCTCCTGAACATGTCTTGTAAAAGTCTATGGGCATCAACCCTCTTTCCTGGTCTAGCAAAGGTAGAACTGAAACAAGAAAGAGTACTTTCACAGGGTGCAAACCCTTTCTCATTCATCTCCATGACTAGTCGTTTTGCCTCAGCCCGATATGACAGGATTAACGATCTGTCCAGTTCAATCCTTTTAGATAGTTCACACCATCCACAAATCAGTATGTCATAAGTTGAAGAATTAGGGGGTCTTCCTCTCACTTGCATCTCATTCATAAGCTCTCTAGCCTGGTGCATCTTTCCCACCTTGGCAAAATAACTAATCAGCACATTATAGGTGCTAGTTTTTGGTACAAAGCCTTTGGTAATCATTTCACAGTAAATGTGTATGGATTCCTTCTTATTTCCAATCTTAGCATGGCCAGATATCAAAATATCATACGTAGAAGCATTAGGGTTCAAGCCTCTTTTCTTCATTTCACCAAGCAAATCTTCCACTTCTTTCACTGAAACAGCCGCCAAAAGAGCACCTAGAAGGAGATTATAAGTGGCAGTATTTGGGGAAACTCCTTCATTTATCATCTGAGAATACATAGCAAAAGCCCTCTCTAGATGGCTGCTAACACAATATCCACGTATAAGGGCATTGTAAGTGATAATGTCTGCCATTATTCCTCTTCCTCTCATATCTTCTAACACTGAAGTGGCTTTTCTAGTCATCCCCAGCCTACATAAGATTGTAATAAGAGTGTTGTAATATTTTTGATTGAGTTTGACTCCCATACCTACAAGTTGCTCATGCATTTGAAATATCATGTCAGCCCTTCTACTTTTGGATGATGCATCAAGAAGAATCTTACAACTAGTTGAGTTTGGGCAAAAACCCACAACTAACATTTCATTCAGAATATTCAAAGCTTTTTCTATCTCACCAGCTTCACAAAGCCCTGAAACTAGAATGTTACAAGTGACTGAGTTTGGCATTATTCCACTATGCTTCATCTCATTCCACAGTTTAAAAGCATTTTCCAAGTTCCCCTGTTTGCAGCAAGCATTAATCATGGTGTTGTAAGTAGCACGGTCAGGAGCTAAACCCAGGTCTCTCATTCCAGAATAAACAGATTTTGTTTCATATTTGCCAAGTCTCAAGAGACCATTAATTAAGACATTGTATGAAATGACATCAAATGGAATATTCTTTGTCATCATCTCTTGGGCCATGTTCAGAGCAGCTGACTCCTTTCCTGCTTTGAAAAAGCCATCTATCAAAGATGTGTAGTTAACATGATCTGGCACCAAGCCCTTAGACTTCATATCTAGAACTAATCTGTTGGCATCCTCCATCTTTCCACTTCTTTTCAAATTGTTCACAAAAACATCAATTATAAAATTGTTTTCCTCCAATCCCACTGACTTCATTTCGTTATAAAGATCAAGAGCAATTTCTTGTTTACTAGCCTTGAAATAGCCATCAATTAGTGTCACATAAATAAAAACATTTGGCATAGTATTTTGACTCACCATTTTCCTCATAACATTTACTGCTTCATCAAGCATTCCTTTTTTCGTATAACCATTTATGATAGAGGAATAAGTAATGACATTTGGAATAACATGTTTCTCCTCCATTTCTTTTAGTATTGATTCCACACCTGTCATGTCTCCTAACTTGCAGCGGCCATCAATCAATGCTGAATAGGAGACATGATTAGGAACCAAATTATGCTTTAAAATCATCTTGAAAATTTCCTCTGCCTCGCTGGCCTTTGCAGCCTTGAAAAGCCCATCCATCAAGTTAGTGTACACAACTACATCAAAGGCAATACCGCGAACTACCATTTGGCTTTGAAGAGAAAAAGCTTCCATGGCACTCCCTGCTTTGAATAAAGAATCAACCAGAGTAGCATAAGAAACGTGATTTGGATCTACACCCATATTTTCCATTTCCTTCAACAGCATTTTTGCCTCAGCCAACCTTCCACGCTTGCAAAGACCACTTATAATTGAACTATAAGTAACTACATCTGGTAAATACCCATTTGTAACCATTTCCTCATATAAAGTAAGTGCTTCTTCGAGTGCTTGCCGCTTACAATATGCACTGATAAGTGTAGTCGATGTAATGAGATTCGGCTCCAAATTCACACTCCCATCATCAGCATCTTTTTTCCACCTAGACCCTAAAATCTCATCAATCAAACTTTTAGCCTTGACAAAATCACCCCTTTCACAAAACCCATTAATTAAACTGTTGTAACTAACAATATCAGGAAGTACACCTTCACTCCTCATCGTTTCCATCAATTTGAGGGCATAATTCATTTCTCCAATTTTGCAATATCCATCAATCAATGTGTTAAACCCTACAATGTCTTTACCAGCCCCACCATTACCTATGTTATCCATAACAAACTCTCCATATTCAACCATCCCAATTCTACAAAAGCCCTTAACCAATATGTTACATGTAAAAGAATCAATACAAACATTATTTTTTACCATTAATGACAATAAACCAAATGCCTGATAAGCAAGTCCTTGCTCACAAAACCCCCAAATGACAGTATTATATGTTACATTATCACTATCAATATCAACATTTCTAAGAAAATCCAATGCCGAACTCAAGTTACCCACTTTACAAAAAGAGTGAACCAACACATTGACAGTGAAAACATTGGGCAAAATTCTACATGACACCATGTGTGTATAAAGAACCCATACCTGAGAGACCAGGCCAGAAGCATTAAAATGGAAAATGAGTTCGTTCCATTGGGGTAAAAGGAGAGGAACATTGAAATTTCTCATGGTAAAGAAAGCTTCTGTTGCCTTGGAGAACCTACCACAGGTTAAGTACAGGTGAATGAGAGTGCAGAAGAAAGAAGCATAGAGATGGGTATTTTTGGGAGTGAGGGTGGAGACACTTCTGTAAGTAGAGGAATTAAGAAGAGTGCTTTTGAAAGTGAGGTTTTGGCGTTGTTTGGTTGGTGAGAAAGTGAGGGAATTTGCGAGAAAATAAGATGGAAAAAGGGTTTTTGTATGCTTCTTGAAGTGGTTTATCATAATGAAGCCGATTGAATCACAAAGACACACTTGACATTTTTAGAATACCGGAGGAAGTAATTTCATTGAAGCGAAAGGGTAGATATGAAAATACACTTATTAAATTCATTTAATTAAATTTATTACACTTTCTATTAAAACTTATTTGATATGTTATGTCCTTTAAATTTGTTTAGTTTTTCATTAAAAATTAATTATTTGTAAATGAAATTAACTTCCATTCATGGAATTTAAGAGTAAAATTATGTTAATCATTTACTAACCGCTTAAAATTATATATGGTATCCGTACTATGCGTATAATATCTATACTATATGTTATATTTATAAATGATAGTAAGATGGTTAGTAATATCGTGAATAATGCTATGTTAATATTTTTTATTTTTTTTATTTTTTTAGAAAAGCTGAAAATTTGTTTAAAATAATACTGATAGTAAAAAAATATTTGTCAATTGAGAAAGAATGATACAAAATGTAATATGAGGATTATGAAATTCGTATTGATAAACGAATGAGTTTTTGAACAAATATTATATTGATTTAAATATTCTTTGTAAATCTATTAATCTTGTAAAACCAAAATTTTAAGGCTCAATAAGATATTACACTTTACTTTAATATTGTTTTTTTATATAAAAAATTAACTAATAATTTTTTTTAAAAGGTTGATGCGGGCTAAACTCACCTGTCACCATTGATTAAGATCTCTCAACTTTGTATATCTACAATCTCTCTTTTATAATCTATCAATTTAGAGCCCATTCTTGTCTCAATCATTACAAGAAGAAAGAATAGCAAAAACAATCACAATAAAGAATAATTTCAAAATTAATTTAATAACGTTTAAAAAAAAACCATTCATATATTAATTTAAATTTCACAACACTCATATTATGAGAATATATATATATAGACCGATAAAGTTTGGGAGCACGTTTTTCTGACACAAAATATATAACAGACTTTAGGTAATTGACATTTATTACGACTTGCATAATTAATGCAAAATGAGTAATGCTAGCCTTACTCACTCTCTTTACTCATTTCTCTTACTCACCTTTGTTAAAATGTTAATCTTATTTACTTTTTCACTTTTTTATCAAAGTGCGTAAGAGAAATGAGTAGGGAGAGTGAGTAAAACTAACATTATTCCTCTAAAAATACCATAATTAAGTTGCAATGTTTTAAAGTAATAGTTTAAAAAGTGTGTTAAAACTTGTGGGAAAAAAATGGGATTCCCGATTGGCCGATCCTAACCTTTTACCTATTCTTAATTATACAAAAAAAAAAAAAAAAAAAATCTCTTTCATCACTCCTTAGTATTAAAATTTTTACTTTTTTTTGTTTTTTATTTTTTTCAATTACTCTTTAAGAAAAATAACAAATTATAAATGATAAGACAACTACAGTATGATCCTCACTCTACTCAAATAAATTGGGTTGAGGAAAGCACTCACCATATGAGGATTTTCCTTTGTTAAATAACGTTAGGAATGGGAACCAAAGTTTAAAATATTGAGACTTTCGTAAGCCCCTGCGGTTTGATATAATAACCAATTCTCTCTAAAGTTTATGAACTAACAATAATCTCCGTGTTATTACTAAACCATTTAATGAGCCGTTAGCCCTTACATTATTAAGAGTTACTAACTACCAAGAAATTATAATTAATGGCCTTATTTTGGGACTGGAATTGAAATGTAGCACATGAAATAACACTTTTCCATTTTCCACTAATTTCATTGACGAAAATACCTCTATATAAATATAAACCCTCACTTCTTTAACTCCATTGAAGCAAACATTAACCGTTCCCTCCTTCATCTTCTTTTGAAAAGAAAATGTTGATTCTGTGCCAGAATAGAGATAATTGAACGTACTTATTGTCAGTTTTGGCAAATGAAACTATCCACATTTACTGGTTTTAGATTTAAGGTGTGTAATATTTCTTCTCCAATTTTTTTCAATTAACTTATTGTGAAATGTTGTTGTGTTGTTTATTGATGATTGAGGAGTGTGGTGATGATGGGTTTAAAGTATAGAGAGTTTTTAGGTTTATTTTGAGTTATTTATTGAGTTTTGCTTCGAGATATAGGGTTTTTTTTTATAGAGTTTTTGGTTTAGAATGAGAAATTGGCTTGATTGCTCTGTTATGGTGTGAATTTCAGTGATTTGAATGACATCCAGACAATGAAAACAACAAACAAAGACTTATGTTTTTGATTCGATAGGGGTTTCGTACGATTTGAATACCCCTATATCAGATGAAAATCTCAAATGTGGTAAGGGAAATGAAGTTAAATCGTCCAAAACCCCCATATGTCAAACAGTGTCAAACGGTATCGGACAACAATGATTTTGTCCATTCATCCAGTAGAGCTCAATAGATGGCTATCAGATACCATCAAACGAATGGACATAATTAGTGTTTTTCGATACAATCTAACATCGTCACACACACACACACACACACACACACACAACACTTCCATTATTAATTCAATCATACATTTGGTCATATGATTTGTGTTGTTCGGTTGTGGATTGATGATGGAAAAGATGGACCTGGGGTCCTTTAGAAATGTAAATTCTAAATGTATCATGATAGGTTTTAACTATTTACACATGATGGTCAATGCTTGTATTACAGGGGTTATTTTGCCAAAATTTCTTAGGCTACGTTTGGTAGGCTTTTTTTTTTTTTTTTTTCATTATCCTATACAATCCAATGAAATAATTAACTTTTCTATTCAACTCAAAATTCAATCATATTCTATTCAACTCAAAACATTTAACAATTATTTTTCTCAATAAAAAAGTTTATAAATTCACAAAAACACCCCCACCCACCCAAGCCACTGTCACCTGCCAACAGCCACTGCCAGACATCGACGCCATAATGACGCATGATCGACTGGATCTAGCCAGTCGTATGCCGATCTATCCATTTTCGACCAGATTTACTGTCAAAGATCTGGCCGTTGACAACAGCCATATCGTTGCCATCTTTGATGGCTAAACGACGACCATTGCTTGGTCGTCGTTGACTGCCAAGATATGGCCATCGTCAACGGCTTGATCTTTGGCCATATATCTGTGGATCTGGCCAGAAAAGGCTAGATTGGTGTACGACCAGCCAGATCCAACCGATCGTGTGCCATTCCGACGACTTTTGGCCACTGTATGACAATGGTGGCCGGCTGCTAGCAATAGTTGGGTGGGTGGGGGTGTTTTTGTTAATTTATAAACTTTTATTGTGTAGAGTGTTTAGTTAAATTAACAAATGTAGAGGGTTAATATATAATCTAAATATTTTCAGAAAATATTTTCCAAAACACATTCTCAGAATCCTATCTTATTTCATTAAATACTATTCTATTATAGAATGCTATTCTAAAAAGCCTACTAAACACGGGCTTAAAATTTCTTAAATAGTCAATCTTGTATATAAAAGGTACAACACTAGTAATACAAAGGATGATGGAGTACAATGTGAATAACAAGCAAAATAACATGTAAATAGTACACTGTAAGGAAAGTAAACATAATATGAACTAAGTGTTTCTCGATGAAGATGCTCTTGGCAAGGGTATGAGATTCTTACATGTTTTACGGTTGTGTCCATATGAATTACATTGGCTGCACTTCGTTGGTGTGACATTTTCGCCTCTAGAATGTATCTAGACTGTTCATCTTGTGCCCCGTTGTCAGTTAACAATCGGTGGAAGTACGACTCGGTCTCAAACCTCATATGGTACGATTTAGTTTTGGTAGGTCTAACCGTACTCGCTAAAAGACATGTTGTATTTTCCAGGTCTAATAGAGGGACTGTTTGTATAGGAGTGGTTGTTCCAAAACCTTGATCATTCTCCATATCTTCCATCCTAGCATCCAAATCATCCAAACCCGGTATATTTTAATGATTTCCTACACCCTCATGTACTTCTGGAGGGGGATCTCCTATCTAACCATACGCATCATGCCCGGTAGTCTCGTACACATTAATCATTTCATTAGCGCTACCTTGATTTAGTATTGGATGTCCATATGTATCATTAATATTGATGGTGTTATGGCCGGAGAATTTCAAAGAAAAGAAAGGAAAAACTGGAAGAATATGTGGATGACATGTATCATTACATTAAGACTGATAATTTATACATCAGTGCAACCAAAATATTCACTGTTGCAACAACTATAGCAGGGACATTTTCATATTTGAATTTAAACTCTAACAACCAACTAAAGCATACACAAAACACATCAATTACAGGTCTTAATCACACCTAAACTAATATTAAAAAATGCATCAAACTGCATCTCACACATGACAACTACGACAATAGAATTCAATTGGCACCAAAGCTTTTCAAACTGCAAACTGGAACATGATGCATTTCCAGCAAAATATCACTGCATCAACACTCCTCTTTGATATTTTTGTTGGAAACACCAAATTTGAGCCTAAGATCTTCAGACTTGGCTTTGGAATCAGTAGTTTGATTTTCACCTTTGCAATGGATTAAACTAACTTCACCATTATACTTAGCTTCCCTCACAGCATGAAATTTTATCTTAATGTGCTTGGTTCTGCCGTGGAGAACTGGATTTTTGGCCGTGGCCACTACAGACTGATTGTCACACAGAATTAGAGTTGGACTTCCCTGGTTTTGCTTCAAGTCTGCTAGAATTTTCCTAACCCAAATGGCTTGATTCACAGCTGCTATAGCAGATATATACTATGCTTCTGCTGTGGACTAAGTCATAGTCTCCTATTTCTTTGACAGCTAACAAATTGCACTAGAGTTTATGTAAAACACATAACCAAAGGTGTTTTTCATGTCATCAAAGGATCCTCTCGAGTCACTGTCAGTATAGCACAGCAGCTTCAATTTTTCAGATTTTTTGAACCAAATGCCAAGCCTGGTGCTTCCTTTCACATACCTTAACACTCTATTGGCTGCCCTAAAATGCAATTCACTCGGATTACTTATGAAC